TGGGGAGAAACTACAGCAAGAAAAGCAGCACTCTCCAACTCTGAACAACATGCAGTCTTCATTTAAATTATACATTTTTTAATATGTTCGTATTACTGATTTTTCGTTTTTTTTTTCTTTTCGTTGTGTTTTCTTGCTGTAGTTTCTCCCCATGATTACTGTTTAGTGTTTTATTTGTTTAATTATCGTTATATTTAGCAACTGTACTTTGAAAATGTATAGACTTAGAAATTTTTACTCTTTTGATTTATTGATCTATATGTAGAGAAACTAGTCACATCAGACTTTTTTAAAACAAGTAAATTTATGATGATAATCAAAAATATATTCCACATGAAAAATAAACAAAGTGGCAGACCAACGATAACTGTGAACTGAAATGTTCACAAAACTCATTCAAAATAATATCCTAAATTAAACTGAAGATTTATATTTTACAAAGTATTCTATACTAAACAAATGTACTAGCTGACTAATATAGTTTGTTTCTGCAAAGTACTAAGTTTCTGAAATATTCTCACTCTTTTAGAGGCAATTATGGTCACAAGAAAAAAACGTCATGCATTTGATGCAGTCTACCTCAAAGGAATATTGTATATATATAAACTGTAATTCTATTATGCTATAAGTATTGCCTCAGTGATGTACACTTAATTCTTTCAGACTCTGTGAAGTTGGCAACACTTTCAAAGGTGGGAAAAACAAATATAAAGAAACATGACAAATTTCACCCATTAAGTTTTCAGGGAATACAAATATTTATTTAAATCGATGTCATAATGTGTGTGTGTAGACGGGTTATACTAACAAATAATGGAAACCTTTATCATTAGCTCCAAGTGAGACTACAAAAAACACTTATTTACCAGATCACAGTTAAGTATGCCATTGTAAGTTTGTTTAAGAAATATTGATGCAAAAAAGCAGTTAATTACATGTAAGAGAGAATGCATACAAATGTTATAACAGTCAGTTTATACAATTATATACTACAAAATTAATCCCTTTCATATATTCAGGGTATGTTAACGGTAACAGGTTAATACATTTGTACACACAGAAGATTATTGTTTTATAAAATCTTCAATTATAGGTCCAAGTAGTATTATACTCATGTATAAAAACACATACCTATAAATGTTTAGAAGAAATGTTACACAATCACAGGGAACAAACCTATCTTTATACACTAACAGATGCTAAATAATCCAGTTAAGTTGTTTCATACATCTTTCATATATCAACTTCTATAACACCCTAAACTTCGAGAAAATATCGTAGTATGGATGGAAGTACAAATGCACACATCTTAATTAACTACCAGAAAAACTCAAATGCATACCTACACATTTCTATAAAACCATAGATGTCCAGAGGAATTAAGGTTTGGCAGTGTAAAAACACAAGCATTGGCAGGAACCTATAAATGTGAACTGAGCTGGGTGTACAAGTATAAAATAACCATTAAAAATATTTTTAAAAAAAGATCTGCAAGGATAAGACATTTGTGTGTATATATATATATATATATATACACACACACACACATATTACTGCCAATCTCTAAATAATGATGTATGTGTACACATACTTCCAAACCTCTAGATTTATTCTCATCTATGTACAATGAGATGTGTTGGAATTCAAAACACTCTCACAAACCCTAAACAATACCCCAAGATAACTGCATTTAATGCATATAACTTCAAAAATTCAGAAAGCTTCTTAGAATCTTGAAACATATATACGTAAATACTGTCCCATCAAACTCCAGGATAAGACCTGAAACCTCTACTGAAAAAATGTACATAACTCTTGAAGCATTAATTGCAAGTATCCACAACTTTCAAACAAATAGAGAACGAGTTAATGTGCAGGAAAATGTGCACACTCTCTATTTCTTTACATTTTGTGTTAAGTATACATTCTTTTAACAAGGACCAAGATATTACACAGCATATCTGGAGAAATTACCATTACTATTGCTTGACTGAATTTGGCAAGATGACTTTTCTTTCTAAACACATCAACAGTCACATTAAACACTGATGACAATTAACTCAAATTTGACATACCAAAACGTTATAGCAGTGCCTTCCTTTTTACAGTGACAGCCACTTTTGAATTAATTGAGAATTTTAATATTATGTTGAAAAACTAACCGAAAGACGTTGACATTATTACTTAATTTAATGGTTACTTTTAATCATTTGTTTAAAAGGTGTGAAAGTGTCAAGAGTTTTGTGGGCACCTTCCTAGTTACATATGTTTATATATATATATTTATTGATATGCACAAATACTCAAGCATACTTAGTAATTTTAATATACAAGTATATACACATATTATGTACAAGTAATAACTACACTGTAGTAACAAACAACTTTACAGCTCTTGCCTGGATTGTGAAAATATCTCCTTTTGAGCACAGTAGAAATATATGTCTCAAGTGAGGAAGCTTTCTAATCTAAAAATATGGCAGTTATCCTTGTGTCGAACAATAATCCCACTTCTCAGGAGCAACTCAATGTAAGGAGGCCACAATGATTCATCTTCTGTCACCCATGGATCATGGGGTGTATTTAAGCTCTTGTTGACAAAAACCTGTCAAAGTAGAAAAAAAAAGTTGTAGGCTTCTACAGCGTAACTAAAAAAAGTTAGGCTCACGATGGAACTAAAAATTAAAAAAAATTTATCAGTTTGTTAAAACAAATGCTTTTGTAAAAAAACATTATTTTTTGTTTACACTGTGTTCAAAAAATGAACAAACTTGGTTTTAATATATGCATATGTAACAATAATGTCAATCTCGACATCAATAATGTTCAATAATCCTGAAACAAAACTAGCTTGGTATCTGTGCTGTGTGCAACAATCAACATTTCTTGCTGCCTACATGAGCTTACCAAAGTTTTGAATGGGCATTTGATCTAGTAATTGTAACTCAGTGTAGCCAATAATCCCTTACCTAGCAACTGTAAATCAGTGTAGGCAATAATCCCTTATCTAGCAACTGTAAATCAGTGTAGCCAATAATCCCTTATCTAGCAACTGTAAATCAGTGTAGCCAATAATCCCTTACCTAGTAACTGTAAATCAGTGTAGCCAATAATCCCTTATCTAGCAACTGTAAATCAGTGTAGCCAATAATCCCTTACCTAGTAACTGTAAATCAATGTAGCCAATAATCCCTTACCTGTTAACTGTAAATCA